TCGGCTGAGCGTTGCATACGTCCAAAACCCTCGGCTGAGCGTTGCATACGTCCAAAACCCTCGGCTGAGCGTTGCATACGTCCAAAACCCTCGGCTGAGCGTTGCATACGTCCAAAACCCTCGGCTGAGCGTTGCATACGTCCAAAACCCTCGGCTGAGCGTTGCATACGTCCAAAACCCTCGGCTGAGCGTTGCATACGTCCAAAACCCTCGGCTGAGCGTTGCATACGTCCAAAACCCTCGGCTGAGCGTTGCATACGTCCAAAACCCTCGGCTGAGCGTTGCATACGTCCAAAACCCTCGGCTGAGCGTTGCATACGCCCGAAACCCTCGGCTGAGCGCCCCATACGCCCGTACCCTCGGCTGGGCGCCCCCATACGCCCGTACCCTCGGCTGAGCGCTACATACTTCTGGCCACTGCAATCTTTACATTTATATTATCTAGCTTAGGCAAGTTTACTGTTATTGTTCTAGCATTCAAAAAAATGTTTGTGCCGATTATCTGTATTTCATCATAATTGGATAACGGGATGTCACTTATATTCCGGTTCTTTCTGATGGGGTTAATGTTTCACAATGGGGATGGAGGGAAGGAGAGCTCCTGAGGAAATCTCACAGGGGGCACTATATAACCTACAGCCAGCCCTGCTCTCATGTGTTGAACCGCAGAAGTCATCTGTGAACAATATTGTAAATTAAAAACTGTAGAAACCACATGTACCTTAAAAAAAAGGGGGGGCCTCTGAACTCATCCGTCTCTGGTGGTTCAAATCAAATGCAACACCAGATTGACGCCAGTAGGAAGGAAGAACGTATCTTAAAACAAGATCCTGACCACAAGCGTCTCGGAGCTACTAACTTTCAATTGTATGGTTAGAAGTCGGCCATTAAACTGTCACTCATTGTAATTGTACAGATACCCTCAAAGACTGCAGTCAGTCCTGTTGGGCTGGTATAATGACTTCAACCTTTAGCTGGAGTTCCACCTCGTCTTATTCATCAGACGAGCCGCCATTCCAAAAGGTCAGATTTTTATTTCTTTTTTTTACGTTTTTAGGTTTTAAGACTGTAATCCAAGTAAATGGCTAAAGCACACCAATAAATACATAAATGGGAGCGGCTTTACCGATTTAATAGTCAAAAAAGTTGTCTAGCTAGTCCTGATATTTCCACAGCCCTCCCAGATAGAACAGCCAGGTTGCTGACCGAATGTTTCTCTGCTGCAACTAACCAATACAGCCTGGTCACAACCCCCAGCATTTGATTGAACAATAAAAAGGAGCAGCAGCAGACTGATCAGCTCATCCCATCATGTTCCTTGTCATCACATATGCACTGCGGTATGAATCGGAGAAAGGAGGAGGAGGGGGGTAGAGAAGGAGGGTTTAAAAGGAAGGACAAGGAGGAGGAGGGGGGTTTAAGGAAGGACAAGGAGGAGGAGGAGGAGGGTTTAAGGAAGGACAGGGAGGAGGAGAAGGAGGGTTTAAAGGAAGGACAGGGAGGAGGAGAAGGAGGGTTTAAGGAAGGACAGGGAGGAGGAGAAGGAGGGTTTAAGGAAGGACAGGGAGGAGGAGAAGGAGGGTTTAAGGAAGGACAGGGAGGAGGAGAAGAAGAATTAAAAGAAGGAGGGGGAGAATAAGGAAGGACAAGTAGGAGGGTTTAAGGAAGGACAAGTAGGAGGGTTTAAGGAAGGACAAGTAGGAGGGGTTAAGGAAGGACAAGTAGGAGGGTTTAAGGAAGGACAGGGAGGAGGAGAAGGAGGGTTTAAGGAAGGACAGGGAGGAGGAGAAGGAGGGTTTAAAGGAAGGACAAGGAAGAGAAGGAGGGTTGAAAGTCAGACAAGAGCTGGCGCTGAGGAAGAATAAGGAAAAGAAGGATGAGAAGGGTGGGAAGAAAAAAATTGAGGAGAAATTATGTAAGGATGAGGGAGGAGTAGGAGTGAGGAAAGAGGAATGATAAGGAAAAGACTGAAGTGGATGTGGAGAAATAATAATTTTAAAAAAAGAGCAGAGAGTTAAGCAAAGAGAGGGGGGTTAAAGAAGAAGAGGGGAAAACAGTACAGGAAGGAGGAAACAAAAGGGGGGCAGAAGGAGAGCGGAAGGTAAAGGGGTGAGGGTATATTGAGAATATTTCCTGGTGTAATATGAGAGAAGGCACCCTTGGCATCCCTTTAGATGTGCACTCTCCTTATTCATATTGGGAAGCCTTAGGAACATGCACATCTAAATGGATCACTTCCGATAAAACAGCTATATAGAAAGTCCTAAATACACAAACTATTATTAAGAGCCTGAAAGAGATTTTAAATACAAGTCCATTAATGATCCCTTAACAGCTGCCAAAACATGATGGCCACCTCCTGAGGCCCAGGGCCAAGTGCATTTAGCCAAAAGACACCCAACTGCTTTGCTTTATGCTAAAAATGAACACGATTTTGTGCTGTTAGAGGGGTCCTCATTCTCCTCAATTCCTCACCCACCCTTCAGAAGAGCAATAAAGCTGAAGGCCACTGCATGATACCCGAGCAGGAGCGCCGGGTGTTCAAGGACCATGAATTATTTTACAGAATATTTTCTCATCCAGAGCAAACAATATACGGCTATAAAAATCTTCATTGAATAAAGACACACAAAAAAAAACCATCAGCAAAATTATTATTTGTGGCTTTGCAGCACTTGGATGTCTCATCTGGCCATCGCAGTGAGTAAATAAAAACAAAGCAGTTGAAAATGTCAGCAATCGGATGAAAACTCAACAAAGCACAAGCCAACGGGGCAGCAGCTAGAAAAATCAATTGTACAATCCAATACTGTCATCAGGAGCCCAATAAACGGTTCCAGGCATCCTAATTAATTCCGCACTTGAAATATGGGACCCGCCAGAGAGCCAAGACGGAGCCAACTCTCAGGTAGACAACACCGAGACACCATTAAAGCTGCACCGGCACTTAATGGAAACCTTTATTTATGACACAATTCTACATTTATTATTTTACATCCATACACAGTTCACTGGATTTCAAAGTGAATTTGCAATACTAGGAGCAAAAATAGAGGATCTATCTTTCTGGAACGGTCAGCGGTGTTCATCATCATGTCCCAGCCCGTGAGGAGATCTCGGGATGATGCGGAACTATATAGATTGTAAAAGTACGACCACGGTACAGTGCTACTTAAATATGCCAGACAAATGGATGAAAAAACATTTCTTCTTCCTCTAATGCATGGCTTTAAAAAAAAAAAAATAGTTTCCGAGTCAGCTCGTGGAATTAGCTGAAATTGGTATTTGAATCTTGTTGTCACAGAACAGCTGAGAATGCAGCCTATCCATTCACTAGAGACCGGTGACATCACTGAGAATGCAGCCTATCCATTCACTAGAGACCGGTGACATCACTGAGAATGCAGCCTATCCGTTCACTAGAGACCAGTGACATCACTGAGAATGCAGCCTATCCATTCACTAGAGACCAGTGACATCACTGAGAATGCACCCTATCCCTTCACTAGAGACCGGTGACATCCCTGAGAATGCAGCCTATCCCTTCACTAGAGACCGGTGACATCCCTGAGAATGCAGCCTATCCATTCACTAGAGGCCGGTGACATCACTGTGAATTCTGCCTATCCATTCACTAGGGACCGGTGACATCACTGAGAATGTAGCCTATCCATTCACTAGGGACCGGTGACATCACTGAGAATGTAGCCTATCCATTCACTAGGGACCGGTGACATCACTGAGAATGTAGCCTATCCATTCACTAGGGACCGGTGACATCACTGAGAATGTAGCCTATCCATTCACTAGGGACCGGTGACATCACTGAGAATGTAGCCTATCCATTCACTAGGGACCGGTGACATCACTGAGAATGTAGCCTATCCATTCACTAGGGACCGGTGACATCACTGAGAATGTAGCCTATCCATTCACTAGGGACCGGTGACATCACTGAGAATGTAGCCTATCCATTCACTAGGGACCGGTGACATCACTGAGAATGCAGCCTATCCATTCACTAAAGACCGGTGACATCCCTTCACTATCACCTCCCAAGCCATCTCCCTTTCCAGTGGTAAAAGTATGATTTTGGAGAACCCATCAGCTTGTGTCCCTGGTGCCAGTGATGTCACCAGGATAAATAAAGGGTGAATCTCCCCAGAGGGCACACATAAGACCTGGCAGGAGTTATAACACTTCCTTAGTCTATCCAACACAAACCAGTTATATACAATTAAAATTCAATGTACAGCCAAAATATTTTTGGACAAATCAGTGGATGGTTACAACTGAAGTTTATTGTGCTTATATTAGGTCTTCCCTATTCCCTCCCCCTGCAGACCACCCACATGTGATGCTAAAACTCCATGATTAAAAAAAACAAAATCCAATGTAATGAAATGGGCGGGGCCAGGAATAGTCAGCCTAGATCAGGGGCACCCACTATTTTTCGTCTGGAGATCTACTTTTCAAATGACGAGCTCATTGAGATCTACCAATGAAAAAACACCTGCATTCAGGGGCGGGAGGGGGCGTGGCGGTGCATTGAAGTCAGTGGCACCGCACCTGTACCGATCCTCTGCCGCTCGGCCACGCACAAATGGGCTCAGCTTCTCCTCTGCATCTCCCGGGCAGAGGCAGCGTGGGATCCGACGAAAAGTGAAAGAGCACTTCAGCCGCGGGGGGGTGTCGGAGCCGCTGTGACAGAACGGACGAGCAGTGAAGCTGAGCATCCCCTAGCCAGGAAATAAGGCGGCCTCTAGCTGACTTGCTGCAGCTTCTAATGCACATTGTGAGAAGCTCAGTGTGCAGTGATATCAGAGGAAGCAATTTCAGTCCAGGAGAGGAGTCGGTACAACTGTGTGAGCCTGAAGGGGAGGCCGAGGGTCAGATTTAACGCTTACAAGTAAAGTGCCACCAGAAAACAGATGTAGCTCCACAATAATGCACAGAGTACCCTCCAACAATCTACATTCACTAAAACGATAACAACTTACTTGTGCTTGTGTTCGTTCCAATAGCGTTGATGGTGGTGGGGACGGAGGAGGAAGAGTAGAGGGGCAAATGTCCATTCTCACAGCCCACGTTCTTGTCCTGCCAGTTGGAGGAGCTGACGCAGATCCCAGAGTCGCGAGAGTTCGGCCAGCCGTTGAGTTTATCGTCCGAGTTCTGTCTTTGGTGGTAATAATGCATTTGCCCATAATCCAGCGAGTCGGAGCGGCACCGCCCCTGGGTGCCGAAATTGCCAGACGTGCGGTCCTCCAGGTGGTTGAGCCACATGGCCAGCGCGCTGCGGTCGTCCAGCGACGTGGCCGGGTGGATCAAGGCGTAGGACAGCAGCTGCCGGCTCTCCTCGATGTGCTGGTTGTGTTCTATCGAGTGAGCCAGGAGTTTCGGCAAGAGCTTCATGTACTCCATTTTGGCGTCCATGTTCCCAGGCTTCAGCAAAGGCAGGTGGGTGAGCAGCTGAGAGATCACCGTGTCCTTGGATTCCTGCTGCCATTGGTTAATGATTGCTGAAAGACAACATGAAAAAAAAAAACAGGCTAAGTGACAAGGAAAACAGCAACAGAATTTACCAAATAAAAAAAGTCCAAAAAGAGTCAGATATCTATCAATGGATGAGGTTAGCAGGTATAGAACTGAAAAAGGAAAGTCCAGATTTCATGAATACAATAGAAGTAGTTTACAGTTTTTCACCCAGACTTTGCTAGCCCGTTCCCTTTCTTGAAGATCTGAGAAAACTCCCCCAATTCTGATGCAGGAAAGGGATTCCTAAAAACACAGCCATTGCTCCTTGCCATCTCTCACAGCCTGCGGTAATAAGTTCTTGGTGACCACCCATCAAAACAAATCTGCCTGGTGATGCACTATATGGCCAAAGGTTTGTGGACCCACCACCATCATGCCTGTCTGATCTTGTTGGACAAGCTACAGACATGTCTTGGAGGAGCTACGAAACACCTGCAACATTATAGATCAATTCCAGTTGAATGTGACTACTACTAGCTATACCATGACCTCGAAAAAGGAGAACCTTCAGAGATGGGCAAAGGTTTGTGGACCCACCACCATCATGCCTGTATGATCTTGTTGGACAAGCTACAGAGGGGTCTTGGAGGAGCTACGAAACAGCCGCAGCATTGTAGATCAAGTCCAGTTGAATGTGACTACTACTAGCTATACCATGACCTCGTAACAGAACATTCAGAGATAATGTTGGACATCCCATTCCAACCCCCATGCATATAAAATCAAGCACATAGTCATCCAATCTCTATTGACCCAACATTAGCATACAAAAGACATTGTAGACAAGTGTGCTCTTCCAACCTTGTGGTGAAGGACCACGTTCCAGGATGACTGTGCCGTGTGCACAAAGCCAACTCCGTAAAGACATGGTTTGAAGCCTATGGCGTGGAGGAACTCGAGTGTCCTGCACAGAGCCCTGACCTCAACCCTACTGAACACCTTTGACATAAAACTAAATGGCAGTTATGAGCCAGGTCTTCTTGACCCATCGTCATTACCGGAACCTCACTCTCTTCTGCTGAACGGGTTCAAATTTCCCCAGACACCCTCCAATATCTTGTGGGAAGCCTTCCCAGAAGGGG